TTAAATCAAAGCGAGAAACTCTAGTAGGAAGAAGTTATCCCAAGTTTTCACTCAGAAGACAAAAAGTTTCCTTAAGATTCTAATAGAACTGAAAAATAAACATTTTCAACATTCTAAAAGAAATTGGTACTGAAATTACTTTGCTGAAACACCCGAGATTGAACCAGGGACCTTTAGATCTGCAGTCAAACACTCTCCCAACTGAGCTATTTCGGCCACATTGAAGTTGATTTTCTCGCCTCAAAATAGTTACATGTGGAAATGTCCCAACAGAAATAATTAACAAAACGATAAAGGTTCCCTATTTTCAAAAAACACTTTGGCCCATGTGGGGATCGAACCCACAACCTTGGCGTTATTAGCACCACACTCTAATCAGCTGAGCTAACAGGCCCCAATGTGTAGCATTTAGGCTAATAGAAATTTTTTTTTTATGTCATCCAATTTAACCCAAAAAATTTAAACATTTCCCTAATTTAAGGAAAAACAGCCGTAACGGCCAAGGAAATTTAAATCATAGCGAGAAACTCTAGTAGGAAGAAGTTATCCCAAAGGTTTCACTCAGAAGACAAAAAGTTTCCTTAAGATTCTAATAGAACTGAAAAATAAACATTTTCAACATTCTAAAAGAAATTGGTACTGAAATTACTTTGCCGAAACCCGGGATTGAACCAGGGACCTTAAGATCTTCAGTCTAACGCTCTCCCAACTGAGCTATTTCGGCGATATTAAAGTTGATTTTCTTGCTTGAAAATAGTTACTTGTGGAAATGCCCCAACAGAAATAATTAACAAAATGATAAAGGTTCCCTATTTTCAAAAAACACTGTGGCCCATGTGGGGATTGATCCCACGACCTTGGCGTTATTAGCACCACGTTCTAACCAGCTGAGCTAACAGGCCCCAATGTGTAGCATTTAGGCTAATAGAAATTTTTTTTTATGCCATCCAATTTAACCCGAAAAATTTAAACATTTCCCTAATTTAAGGAAAAACAGCCGTAACGGCCAAGGAAATTTAAATCAAAGCGAGAAACTCTAGTAGGAAGAAGTTATCCGAAAGGTTTCACTCAGAAGACAAAAAGTTTCCTTAAGATTCTAATAGATCTGAAAAATAAACATTTTCAACATTCTAAAAGAAATTGGTACTGAAATTACTTTGCCGAAACCCGGGATTGAACCAGGGACCTTTAGATCTTCAGTCTAACGCTCTCCCAACTGAGCTATTTCGGCCATATTTAAGTTGATTTTCTTGCTTGAAAATAGTTACATGTGGAAATGTCCCAACAGAAATAATTAACAAAACGATAAAGGTTCCCTATTTTCAAAAAACACTTTGGCCTATGTGGGGATCGAACCCACGACTTCAGCGTCATTAGCACCATGCTCTAACCAGCTGAGCTAACAGGCCCCAATGTGTGGCATTTAGGCAAATAGAATTTTTTTTTTATGTCATCCAATTTAACCCGAAGATTTTAAACATTTCCCTAATTTAAGGAAAAACAGCCGTAACGGCCAGGGAAATTTAAATCAAAGCGAGAAACTAGTAGGAAGAAGTTATCCCAAAGGTTTCACTCAGAAGACAAAAAGTTTCCTTAAGATTCTAATAGAACTGAAAAATAAACATTTTCAACATTCTAAAAGAAATTGGTACTGAAATTAATTTGCCGAAACCCAGGATTGAACCAGGGACCTTTAGATCTTCAGTCTAATGCTCTCCCAACTGAGCTATTTCGGCCATATTGAAGTTGATTTTCTTGCCTCAAAATAGTTACATGTGGAAATGTCCAAACAGAAATAATTAACAAAACGATAAAGGTTCCCTATTTTCAAAAAACACTTTGGCCCATGTGGGGATCGAACCCACGACCTTGGCGTTATTAGCCCCACGCTCTAACCAGCTGAGCTAACAGGCCCCAAAGTCTAGCATTTAGGCTAATAGATTTTTTTTTATGTCATCCAATTTAACCCGAAGATTTTAAACATTTCCCTAATTTAAGGAAAAACAGCCGTAACGGCCAAGGAAATTTAAATCAAAGCGAGAAACTCTAGTAGGAAGAAGTTATCCCAAAGGTTTCACTCAGAAGACAAAAAGTTTCCTTAAGATTCTAATAGAACTGAAAAATAAACATTTTCAACATTCTAAAGAAATTGGTACTGAAATTACTTTGCCGAAACCCGGGATTGAACCAGGGACCTTTAGATCTTCAGTCTAACGCTCTCCCAACTGAGCTATTTCGGCGATATTAAAGTTGATTTTCTTGCTTGAAAATAGTTACTTGTGGAAATGTCCCAACAGAAATAATTAACAAAATGATAAAGGTTCCCTATTTTCAAAAAACACTGTGGCCCATGTGGGGATCGATCCCACGACCTTGGCGTTATTAGCACCACGCTCTAACCAGCTGAGCTAACAGGCCCCAATGTGTAGCATTTAGGCTAATAGAAATTTTTTTTATGTCATCCAATTTAACCCGAAGATTTTAAACATTTCCCTAATTTAAGGAAAAACAGCCGTAACGGCCAGGGAAATTTAAATCAAAGCGAGAAACTAGTAGGAAGAAGTTATCCCAAAGGTTTCACTCAGAAGACAAAAAGTTTCCTTAAGATTCTAATAGAACTGAAAAATAAACATTTTCAACATTCCAAAAGAAATTTGTACTGAAATTACTTTGCCGAAACCCGGGATTGAACCAGGGACCTTTAGATCTGCAGTCAAACACTCTCCCAACTGAGCTATTTCAGCCACATTGAAGTTGATTTTCTCGCCTCAAAATAGTTACATGTGGAAATGTCCTAACAGAAATAATTAACAAAACGATAAAGGTTCCCTATTTTCAAAAAATACTTTGGCCCATGTGGGGATCGAACCAACGACCTTGGCATTATTAGCACCACGCTCTAACCAGCTGAGCTAACAGGCCCCAATGTGTAGCATTTAGGCTATTAGAAATTTTTTTTGTCATCCAATTTAACCCGAAGATTTTAAACATTTCCCTAATTTAAGGAAAAACAGCCGTAACGGCCAAGGAAATTTAAATCAAAGCGAGAAACTCTAGTAGGAAGAAGTTATCCCAAAGGTTTCACTCAGAAGACAAATAGTTTCCTTAAGATTCTATTAGAACTGAAAAATAAACATTTTCAACATTCTAAAAGAAATTGGTACTGAAATTACTTTGCCAAAACCCAGGATTGAACCAGGGACCTTTAGATCTTCAGTCTAACGCTCTCCCAACTGAGCTATTTCGGCCATATTTAAGTTGATTTTCTTGCCTCAAAATAGTTACATGTAGAAATGTCCCAACAGAAATAATAAACAAAACGATAAAGGTTCCCAATTTTCAAAAAACACTTTGGCCCATGTGGGGATCGAACCCACGACTTCAGCGTCATTAGCATCACACTTTAACCATCTGAGCTAACAGGCCCCAATGTGTAGCATTTAGGCTAATTTAAATTTTTTTTTATGTCATTCCAATTTAACCCGAAAAATTTAAACATTTCCCTAATTTAAGGAAAAACAGCCGTAACGGCCAAGGAAATTTAAATCAAAGCGAGAAACTCTAGTAGGAAGAAGTTATCCCAAAGGTTTCACTCAGAGATACAAAAGTTTCCTTAAGATTCTAATAGAACTGAAAAATAAACATTTTCAACATTCTAAAAGAAATTGGTACTGAAATTACTTTGCCGAAACCCGGGATTGAACCAGGGACCTTTAGATCTGCAGTCAAACACTCTCCCAACTGAGCTATTTCGGCCACATTGAAATTGATTTTCTCGCCTCAAAATAGTTACATGTGGAAATGTCCCAACAGAAATAATTAACAAAACGATAAAGGTTCCCTATTTTCAAAAAATACTTTGGCCCATGTGGGGATCGAACCCACGACCTTGGCGTTATTAGCACCACGCTCTAACCAGCTGAGCTAACAGGCCCCAATGTGTAGCATTTAGGCTAATAGAAATTTTTTTTTGTCATCCAATTTAACCCGAAGATTTTAAACATTTCCCTAATTTAAGGAAAAACAGCCGTAACGGCCAAGGAAATTTAAATCAAAGCGAGAAACTCTAGTAGGAAGAAGTTATCCCAAAGGTTTCACTCAGAAGACAAAAAGTTTCCTTAAGATTCTAATAGAACTGAAAAATAAACATTTTCAACATTCTAAAAGAAATTGGTACTGAAATTACTTTGCCGAAACCCGGGATTGAACCACGGACCTTTAGATCTTCAGTCTAACGCTCTCCCAACTGAGCTATTTCGGCCATATTGAAGTTGATTTTCTTGCCTCAAAATAGTTACATGTGGAAATGTCCAAACAGAAATAATTAACAAAACGATAAAGGTTCCCTATTTTCAAAAAACACTTTGGCCCATGTGGGGATCGAACCCACGACCTTGGCGTTTAGCACCACGCTCTAACCAGCTGAGCTAACAGGCCCCAATGTGTAGCATTTAGGCTAATAGAAATTTTTTTTTTATGTCATCCAATTTAACCCGAAGATTTTAAACATTTCCCTAATTTAAGGAAAAACAGCCGTAACGGCCAAGGAAATTTAAATCAAAGCGAGAAACTCTAGTAGGAAGAAGTTATCCCAAAGGTTTCACTCAGAAGACAAAAAGTTTCCTTAAGATTCTAATAGAACTGAAAAATAAACATTTTCAACATTCTAAAAGAAATTGGTACTGAAATTACTTTGCCGAAACCCGGGATTGAACCAGGGACCTTTAGATCTGCAGTAAACGCTCTCCCAACTGAGCTATTTCGGCCACATTGAAGTTGATTTTCTCGCCTCAAAATAGTTACATGTGGAAATGTCCCAACAGAAATAATTAACAAAATGATAAAGGTTCCCTATTTTCAAAAAACACTTTGGCCCATGTGGGGATCGATCCCACGACCTTGGCGTTATTAGCACCACGCTCTAACCAGCTGAGCTAACAGGACCCAATGTGTAGCATTTAGGCTAATAGAAATTTTTTTTTATGTCATCCAATTTAACC